GTTTTATTGTATAAAATCCGCTTAATATTCAATAGCTAAAATTAGTCTGGTCCCTGGTTTTTCCTGTGGTCCCTGTTAATTCCGCTATCTGTACGTTATTATCACAAATAAAATTTTAATAATTTGCTTTAAAAATTTATTGATTATTTTTTAATTCCATAATTTTCATGTACTAACTCAGCTACAGATACCCGAAATATAGTCCGGGTACCATAAATTTATAGTATATTATAGTTTTTAGTTTTTTTGTCCTGTTTTTTCAAAATTTGCATTAAAAAAACTATTAAATAGTTTTTAGAAACCATTTTTATAATATGCCTGTTGTTTTTTCTGTGCCGGTTGGTTTTTCAGGTATCTGTAATTAAAAATACAATTAACAAGAGATATTTCCATGTTACAACAATTTAAATCAATGAATCTTCTGTGTTTGATATTTTTTTGGAATTTTAAATTTTTATTATGGTCAGTCTGAAAATGTTGTCCGGGCATTTTTAGGCCATTAAATTGGAATATTTCGGGAAACAATTCGAAATACTCACAAAACATTGTTTCATAATTTTTACTGGGTTTTCAACGTTTTTTCCTAATTCCCAAATTTATAAACTTGTTTTGTGTAAATTTTTGTCGAATAGACAACTTTTTTAAAAAGACTTTATTTAATTATCATTTTTATAATTAAATCAATAATTTTGATTTAGAAATAAAATATCCAGTTTTTTTAATTAAGAAACCGAAGAGTGAAGAAATTAAACACAAGTTTAATTTATTTTCTAATCGTTAGACTCAGACAATGAGGGTTATTGACAACTTGAATATATGCTTGTTAATGATAAAACATGTAATTTAATGATTTGAAACCATTCTTAATTATCACTTTGGTGATGTAAGTTTAAACAATAAAAGAAGTAAAAAGATAACATAATTAAAACAGAGCTATTTGCGAGAGAGCAGATACATTTTCACATGCCACGATACTCGCTATCCGATTTGAAACGATTTTACCAACTTCTTTAATTTGTTCTATATTGTAGACTATTGTTTTGTTGTGGAAATTGTAGAAGCAGACGTTTCCAAGGATTCCATCACTCTCATCTCTTGCATTAAGAAGGACTACGCCAAACTCAAAGAGGACGTCTAAAAGCAAATTGACGACTTCTCGGCGCTTATAAGGTTGCATCCTTCTCTTAATAGTTTCTTCTTTTACTCCTTCTTTCTCCATTAAAGTGGAATAGAGGAGACACCGTGCCTTCACAACTTTTTGTACATCTAGGACTTCATCCCCAATTATGAGGTTTTTAACTCTTTGGAACTGTGTTGTGATTTTTGCTTGTTTAGACGGTCTTTTCACAAAGACTCCAATGTACCGACTTAATAACATCAACGCAACGTTTTGTATCTCAGCTTGAAGCGATAGAGCAACGCGCGTTTTGAAGTGGATGTTTTTGGTGTTGAATTGCCGGTCTTTGTGGGTGATTGGCATTGAATACTTGTTTTGAGTGATCCGTATTTATAATAAATGAAGAAACAGTAAAAATCGGATCCGACCATAATTAGATGGTGGGGGTTAAGAATGCTTCTTATCGAATTTTTTTATTTTTTTTCTTCACAACTTTTTTCACTCAAAAGGTGTAACAATTTTATTTATCAGTTGATAATAAATTTGTCTAAAATATTTGATAGAAAAATTATTTTAAAAAATTGGGAGTTGAAGAAAAGTGCAATAAAAACCCCAAGACTAAAAAGAAAAATGGTGTGTTCAGTTCTTTAAACAACGCGCCTTGTCAAAATTTCCGTAGAGGAAGCAAAGAAAAACATTTCTGACCAAACTTTTAAATGATCTGCTTCTGAAAACGGAGAAAGTTGAGTCTTTTCGCGGTTTATTTTTGTTTTTAAATCAACTCATCTTATTTATATCGAAGTTGTATTTACGAAATAAAAAAACAAAACTTCCGTTGTCATATTCCTCATTTGACTTCTCAAAAACGGGACTATTAGGGTAAGTTGATCTTTTCATGTTTTAATTATATAATAATGTGTCAAGATTCTATTTTTGAGTTTATCCCAAAAATACCCGATTTTCCCCGATTTTTTTTGTTTGTTTTTGTTCCATTTTTCCTTGTTTTAAGTCTTAATGCCGAACTAAAAATCTAAAATGGAACTCGACTGCATTTTTTCGTGAAGTTTTGAAAGGAAAAATACTTCACGAAACGTTCAATTGCTATTTTAAGAGAATTCTAGGCTTACTCCTTTCTATTATTAAAACTTCATTCCAGATATCTGGGTGATTAATGCTGATTTGGCGGGTTGTTGAAAATGTATTTATTGGCGACCAATAAGCACAAAAAATGTAACCCAAATGATTTTGTTTAAAGCGACAGTTAAAAAAATATGGATCAACTAGTAATATATTAATAAGTTTTATTAATATATATAGTTAAAATAAAGGACATTACAATAACTTTCAATGAAGTAATAACGCCAGTTAATGAATTAAAAAAGTAGAGGGTTTTTCGCAAAAGCATGTTATTTCTTAATAAAGTTTTTCTCGATTTGTCTCATCAAAGTGGTTTCCTAAAAAATATGAGAGTAAAACAATGTTATTAGACGGGTTTTTCATCGCAAAAAATGTTGACAACAAAACAGTTAAATTGATAAACAATGTGGTATCTGTTCAAAAGAAATATATTTACAAGAAAAGTATTTGCTGATGTTATTTGTCCGTCTATTTACAATAATTATTAACACAGCGTATGAGATCTTTATAAGCATGTTTGATTTGATTATCAACTTTAATTATATATTATGATTATTTTATTATTATTTATAGTTTATTTTTTCATTTTCATCTACTTTGGCTCAAGTATGTTTTCAATATAAATAATAAAACAACCATTAAAAAAACAAATAAAAAATCTTCATCAAGATTAATAATTTTAAAGAATTTAATGATTTCTATATGGTTATTTTATTATTAATTTAACTCAAATATAATACAAAAAACAAAAAAATTATTTGTTTTTTTAATAAAAATAAATAAATTATTTTTATAATTTGAATAAAAAAAATTATTTATTAAACTTTCTTAATTTATAAATTAGAAAAGTTAAATTATTTGTAAATAATTATAATTATTGTATTAGGTAGAGTTTCAAATGAAACTGGGTATCTATTTTATATTTTTATAAATAAATAAAAATACAATTGATTGGGTTGTTTTTTAATCAATAATTGGCCTTTAAATGGTATTTTTGTTTGTTTATAATTTATTTGGTTAGTAGATTGATTTTCACTTCAAACAGTGAGTACAATATATTTTGTTAATTCTTTTGTTTTTTGTTCCAGAATCATCATGTATCAAAATAAAAACAAGTGTTTTAACTTAAATATTACATGATTTTGTTTTTATATATTCAAACATAACGGTCATTTAAAAAGTAGTCAGTTATTAATAAAATTTTTTTTGTTTCATTTAGTAAATTTTATCAAATACGAAATTTTTATTTCGTACTTTTTGACTTTAATTGAAATCTATTCAATAATGTTATTACATTTTAAGTATTAATGTAATAATATATGTTTGAAAAGGATTGAAAAAGGGAATAAAAATATACAATATCAACTTTTTTTGACATTTATTTGATACGAATTAATTTAAATGTTTTTATTAGAATAAATTTCTATTTTATATTTTAATAACATTCTAAAGAGTAAAAATATTATTCAATACAATAAAACAAAAAGTTGAGTCAATTACAAAATGAAGAATAATAAAATAAAGGATCTTTTAATTTCCTCTTCCTCGAGGCGATATACACTTAACTTTTTGTGACAATCGTTTCGAAAATGACAATTTATGAGCTTCTTCAATTTCAATAATAGGTGGCAATTCAATTTTCATGTTATGTTTACTGACCAATTGAACCTCTTTAATGCACGACCGTTTCTTTGCAGAACCTTTTGCAATCGATTCAAAGAGGAAGTCGACTTTAATGTTATTTAACGCGGATACTTCATAGTATCCAGTTGGGTATTTTCCATTGATATCCTCAATAATCTCAACACCTTCATTCAGTGACACTGTTCTATTATTACAATCAATCTTATTTGCAACTACAATAAAAGTTGGGAGTCTTCCGAGTTTTCGGCCTTCACTCTCTACCTTGTTCATACAGTATTTGATGTCCTTCTTTACATAATTGAAAGATGCAACGTCATGTACTGAATATACAAAGACAAAAACATCAGAATCTCTGAAGTGACTATATTTGAGATCTTGGAGAGACTCTTCACTTGTTGTATCTATTATATGTAAATCTACTTGCCGAGTTTCCAAGTCAACAATGGTGTTATATGTATCTTCAATAGTTGCAATGTGTTCACGAATAAACTCGCCATTGACATATCGGTGGATAATACTTGTTTTGCCTGAACATCGTCCAAAGAATATAACTTTGATATTTTCCATTCTATGCTTTTGGAAGTTTTTTTGTCAACTTTTTATATGGAATTTAAAGTAGGAAAACAAGAGGTGGACAAAAAAGTATGAAAATACTTTTTTACTGATTTATTAATAAAACAGTTAGGTTGGAAGTTATCCTTCACCTTTCACTTAATATAATTTATTATAATATAATTATAATATGGTTGTAATTGTTTTATTTATAAATTATTTTATTTTCAAGATTTTTTTAAACTACAGATATAGTATATTTTATCAACAAATCAATTAAATTTAATTGTTATATTCCACCAATTCGATTTAATAAAAATAGATTCAATTTTTATCTATTGAAAAACAGTAGTTTAAATTATAGTTTCGATACTATGGTTTGATAATAAAAATTTGTTAACCATAATGTTGATCATAGTGTAAAATATTCATAACATGAATTTTGATTGTTTAGTCTCAAAAACGTTTATTATTCACACTCAAGATTGAATAAATTATTAATACTATATAATGATTTATTTTTATAGGTTTCTGTGTCTAAAAAACACTGATAAAAATTCATAAATATAAAAAAAAACACTTTTGGGGTTCTAATTTGTATCTGTAAGAATTTAATTTTTTCGTACTTTATAATCTTTAACTTCGTAAACTCATTTGTTTCTTTTTGTTTAATTGTCCAAAAAAAGATAATTGGATTGAATTGTTTTTTTTTGTAAAACATAATCAATCGTAAATGAAATGTATAATAAAGATAGTCATCACTCTTAAAAATCAACAAAAAGAAAGGTTGGAAATTTATTTTTGATGTCTAGTTCACATGTTTCAAAAAAGTTTGTTGATTGATGCAATTCAAAGACACTAAATCCTTGTTGAATTGGTTGAGTAAAAGAATAAAAAGAAATAATAACCGTAAAAGATATTTTCAAAATATAAAATGTAAGAAATAAAAATTTAATTATTTATTTTTATCAATCCAAATAACAACTTATAGACAATATCTAGTTTTGTGAATAAACTTGTTTTACTTGGTGTATTTTTAGGAATTGCATTAATAATTGTATTATCTATTTTTGGTTATTTGGAATTTTTTGAAGTATTCAATTTTTGACGTAATAAATATATTAATTTTTTAATTAGAATTATTATCTATTATTATAAACAGTGTTAAGTATTTCTAATTATTCAAAATATTATAATTTAATTGATAAGCATTCTATTTTTTATTTTTGTTAATTTATTTTTTATATATCAAAGTTCAAAAAAAATTAAACACTTCATAATTCAATCGTTGTTCAATCGAACATCCCGAACGTGGTACCTTTGAAGAGAATATTTTTTTTCAAGAGTGAACATTTTAACTAATCTAAACCTCAAAATACACTCTAAAAGAAATTTGATATGCCCACTCTTGAGAGAACAACAATTACCATACCCATTCACTTTTGAATAGTTAAACTGTACTTAATGTAAGTATTATTATACACTATACTTATTAATATATTTTAATTAATAATAATAATTTATAATAACAATTTTTTATTATTTATTTACTATATAAATGTATTTATATATAAATAAAGCTTGTTATATTTTAATTAAAATAAAAAAACTAACAAATATAACAATTGAAACTAAAAGTTATTAAACACTTACAATTATGAAAAATAGCTTAAAATACTATACTATTTTATTGAATGAACTTACTATTAAGAAGTAAGAACTCAAAGAACTTCAAAATAGTGATAATGATTGGTGTTTTAGTTTCAAATGCGCCTTTTTTTTATTTAGTCTTTATGATTATCATATACACTACTTTTTATTACGAAGGAAAGTCGCTCGAATGTCTCGGTACTCGTACTGGTGACACGACCAAACTATTAGAAATTCATTCCATCGCGATGCTTTCAGGCTTTTTGCTTCCAATTCTTTCGATTTTTCGAATAGTTCGTGGTTTGTAGATATAGTATTTTTTCTTATACCATAATAATTAAATAAAGAACTTTATTTATAATTATATTTATTATTATTATTATAATTATTTTTATTATTATAATTGTTACTATATATATATTAATATAAAGAACTATATAAATAGCCATATTTATTCTAATAATATAACACACAGGTAACTTTGTAGTCGTTATACCATATTTCATAGACTTAACTACATCTTATCTTATCCATCGGATAGGTATCTTTGTGCAGACATTTTTGAATTATCAATTGAACGATGTTCGATGTAGTAAAGATGGAGAAATGAAGAATGGAGTGAATGGGTACTCGTATGCGATAGTATTCTTTTTTCTAGTATTTGTGCGACTTCTGAACTCGAATGATAATTATCCCCAATACGACTCAAACACTATTTCTCTTCAATTTTCCCCGCCAACGTATATTCAAAATAGAAAACAACTTTTTTATCAAAGCGTTGGTCCTTTCTCGTATAGGTATTCATGTAGTTGTCAAAACTATTTGAAAAACAATGAGAAGTGTTTGTACCACTCTACTGTCTATATCATCCTTTCTATATACATCCTCTCGGGGTCGATCGGGATCGGTCATATTTTAGTCCACGGTTTCGCTAATGTTACACAAATCCTCTTCGGAATGTGTCTTGCTTATATCATGATATTCCTCTTCGACTTCATTTTATACTTCTTTAGACCACTCGTCAAGGCTATTGTCCTCATCACCTGTTTCTATATCATCACTTTCGTCGCTTATATCGGACTCAACGGTGAAATAGCAGACGGTGCTTTTTATCACGTGATATGCGCCGTCGACTTGTGCGCTTCTATTGTTCTGCACTACAAACTCAACACTAAAAACTCGAAAAAACACTGAATGACATCTTGTGTATTATTATAGTATTGTTATTAATTTGTTTATAATAATATTATAGTAGGTTGTATTTTTCTTGTATTATATTATTAATTTACTATTTAAGTTAATATAATAGGATTAATAAAAATTTGAAATTTTATAGAAAAATAATAATAATAGTTATTATTAATTAATAATAATTATTATCAATTACAACAGAATTATGAATTATAAATTATTTAAATTTATTAAATAAATATAGTATATATTTTTAATAAAAATAACTTTTGTTGTATATTTTGTTGATTACAAAAATAAAAATAATTAAAGAAGTTTTATTATTTTAAGAAACAATCGCACTGTGCAATTTTTAAATAATGTTTAATTCATCATCAACATACTAATATAATATAATATTTAAATTATAATTATATTAGAAAACAAATAAAATGGTCAAAAACAAACAATAAATGCTCTAATAAAAAAGTAATTAAAAAAGTTACTGTATTTCACCAATTTTATCACTTTGTTTTTCAACTAAATTGGTGTATTTTTGAAATCACCAAAATATTTTTTATTTTTATAATTTAAAATAGATAATTTAATAATTAATAACAACAAGATTTTCATCACCATCTATTTATATCTTTTAATTATCTTTTTCTTATTCATAAATTTGTTAGAAACATAGAATACTCTAGTTTTTTATTCTATTATTTTAGTAAATATATTACTCCATAAATAACAAATTCAGTATAATACTAATACATTATAATAATAAAATAATAATATTATTACAATAACGAATTATAGTAAAATACTAATAGATTATAATACTAATACTCGAACACTCGCCACCAATAAAAAATCACATACGAGATGCAAACACCAGTGCCCAACACTGACTTTTGTTTAGTACGGATTGGTGGCAAATTAATGTGTGTTCCCCACAACACGGTGATAACCTCTCTTCAGAATTTGTTACTTCAAAATTCGCAAGCTAAAACAGCGACATTATATGGTCTTAAATCGGCACAAATTCAAACCCTTTTTGACTCCTTTTACACCTCAACATTACAACACTTTCCTCCACAAATGCAGATCTATTTTGGCTACCGCTTTTTAGCACTCCATTCCCCGGAAGAGAAGCGCATTGGGATATTAACACTCTCGAAGAACATTCCCGCCTTCAATTCAGCACATTTAGCAGACTTCGAGCGTATCTTTGACAACGACATCAACGACTGGATGATCTGCGACGCGCTCGCAAATAAAGTCGTCACGCAACTTCTGCGCTCGCACGACGACGTCGCGGCGCGAGTCTTCACGTGGAAGGATTCCGGGAAGATCTGGCGGATGCGTGCGTGTTGTGTGATCTACGTCAACTTTGCGAACACGGAGGAAGAGAAGTGTTTCTCGATATCGTCGACGTGTGTGAAGTCGAGTGAGCGGTTTGTACAACTAGGCGTTGGGTGTTTATTACGGGAGATGTCATTGAACTCGACGGAAGCTGTTGTGAAGTTCATCTATGAGAATTACAGGTACTTCACTCGTGAGGGGCTCCGTTACTCGATCGACAAACTCGACATCGCGACGCGGAAGATGATACTTGGGATAGGGAAAGGGCGGAATTCTGGAAATGGGATGAAGACGCCGGACCAAGCCTCCTCACCAAAATTAGAAGAAAAGAAGGAGAAGAGTGAGAAAGAGAAAGTCGACAAAGGAGATGATAAAAAGACTAAAAAGGAGAAGAAGGAGAAAACAGAGAAGACGACTTCTGCTTTGTATGAGAGACAAAAAGACCAATTTACTATGCCTTTGGAGAGTAACGGAATGTATGCAGGACAAATCCAGACTATGCCAATGCAAAGCGTCAATATCCAAAATATGCAGGGAATGCAGCAACAAAATATCAATCAACAGATACAACAAGTCGACGACCAGCTGAAGACACAGATACTACAAATGGACTACTTGCCCGGTGTACAAAATGAGGTGTATCAGGTCGTGCTACCAAATGGACAAATCAGTTACGTGCAACACCCGAGAATGGTGATGCCGGCAAATTACCAACAATATTATGAGTTGCAAGGGTTCACACAAGACGGATATTCACAGAATCAATAAGTTGAGGAGAGTCTATAATAGTTTTCTTCATGCAAAATTGGGTAATTTAATTATTAGATTTGTTTATTGAGTTTCTCGTTGAATGTATTTTCGTATGGAAATGAGGGGATTTGTTCATGGTATTAAAGATAAATTTGAAGTTTTTTGTTGGCATGCGTTTTTCGAAAGTCATTTTGATGGGATTTGTGGTGACTCGAGGAAATTAAAATAAAAGAAGAAATAATTATTACTTTTGGCGCTTTGACCTCTAACTGCGTATTCAAAAGAAATGAAAACATTCGTGCCATTCAAATTATGTCGTCACTGGACACCTTTAATATCATGGTTGTCTCAAAATACTTTGTTACGGTCGACGACTTTGTTCATCTCTCTTTTGTGCGCAGAAAGTTCAGAGAAAACATGGACAAATTCCATTACAATCCAATACCTCTGAATCAGAAAACAAGAAAGTATTTCTCACGTTTGGAAACATTACACATATATAAAAAGACAGACGATCACTTCTTGAATGAAAACTTCTTTTGTAGAGTCATTTGGTATGAAGTCGACTTTGCACACTACTGTAACACCGACAAAAAGACACTTTTCAAAAACGTCAAATTCACTAAAAATGACCGCGAGATGTACGGAAGCAAAGTTCCAGAAGTGATCAACAAAATCGACAAAGAGTGTTTCTGGCTCTGTCCATACATCGAGAACGTCAACCTTCCAGCCTCTTTGACTTCAATTGGAAAGGGGTGTTTTTATGGGTGTCGTCTTTTAAGTTCAATAAAATTACCTCACAATTTTTCTAAATTGGGAAAGCAAAGTTTCACTCGTTGTGTTTCACTTGAAAAAGTCGAGTTGTCTGAGTGTTTATATGAACTTGGAATTTCTTCCTTTTCACATTGTATTAATTTGTTAGAAATCAATATTCCAGAAAGAGTGTTGAGTTTGCCTTCGCAATGTTTCTTCTGGTGCACTTCTCTCCAAAACGTCAAATTAAATACTTCTCTTGTATCAATAGGCTCCTTCTGTTTTGCGAAATGTACTTCAATATCCAAAATTGAGATACCAAATTCAGTTACAAAAATTGGTAATGGCTGTTTTCAAAAGTGTTGCGAACTAAAGGAAATTGAACTTCCAGAGAAATTAAAAGACATCTCTAGCGAAACATTCTTTGGTTGTACGTCTCTTTCAAAAGTTGTATTTCCAAGTGGATTGACTTCAATAAACGATCATGCTTTCACTAAATGCAATTCATTAGAAAACATTGAAATCCCAAAACAAGTTATTTATATTGGATCAGAGTGCTTTGCAGAGTGTTTTAATTTGACAGAAGTCTTAATACCAGACAACACAAAACTGTTGGGATGTGGATGTTTTTATGCTTGCACTTCTCTTTCTGCATTCAACATACCATCTTCTATAAATTCACTCTATTCAGAATGTTTCTCTAAGTGTTACATGCTATCCGAAATTCAAATTCCATTGGGAATAACACGAATTGGCTCAGAATGTTTTTCTCATTGTCTATCATTGTCTTCAATAAAGGGTGGCGAACATGTCGAATATGTTGGAAATAACTGTTTTATCAACTGTCCACTGTCTACTCGAAAACAAATTGAACCCATAAGTAGACAACAATGAAAATCTACAGATGACTTTCAAATGTTATTAATCTATTGTTTATTATCACTTATTGTGTTACAAAATAGATATTTCGAATTATTATAAAGTACATTTCTTTCTAAATAGATATACAACTTTAAAATAAAATAAACATATCTTTTAATAAAGTTTTTGAAGCTTATTCACAACATCCCCAATTTCTAATCTCTCTAGTTGATGTTGTGACCAACACAACGTAATAAGATTGTACACTTTTTCATCGACATCATTAGGCTTATCTAACCGATGTCCACCCACAACAAATTCAGCTATCTTCCATGGAAATTTAAATGCCAAATCGACGTATGCACATCTCCACGCAAAGCATTCATACATAGTAATTGCAAATGAATACACATCGGCCGGTTTTTTGTACTTCTCTTGTTTCAGGACTTCCGGCGCCATATACACAGGAGATCCAATTCCTTTCGTGAAAGTCATGTTAGTCATCAACATATTCACGTTCCTCGACGACCCAAAGTCTGTTAGTTTGCCATTCGCTAACACTCCTTCATTGAGTGAAACAATTAAAATATTGTCTGGTTTAACGTCTCTGTGTAGTATCCCGTTCTCATGTAAATAAAACAATCCTTTTGCACCGTCCAACATGAACTTAATTTTAAGTCTTGATGTGACTGCATTCTTCCTTCGCTTTTTCATTAAATCAGCTAAACTTCCAAATTCAGCAAATTCAGTGACCAAACACACTTTATTTGGAATGAACACAGCTCCATAGAAGTGGACGATATAATCACTTCTAAATTTGTCCAACATAGCAACTTCCTTCTCAAATTCAATAAGACCATCATCATTTTCTAAGTGTTTCATCTTCTTAATAGCCACCTGGTTCTCTCTATATTCTCCCAAATACACAACCCCAAAGGAACCTTCCCCTATTGCTTTGATATCTTGTAACTCATCTGGATCAAGTCGTGTCGACATTTCAGTTTCGATTTTCATTTTGATGTCTTCTGTGAACTTTTCTCCTGTTTTCATTACGAGAGAAATCACTTTAAGTTGGTCTTCAATTTTAAATGTACACAGTGGTGTTATGAATATTTCAAATTCGCACGCCTCTCCCTTTTTTAAAGTGATTAAATTTGGGTTTGTTCGTATTGTGTATTTATCGCTATCCTCTTTGGAACTAATTTGTATTTTAACACGATCTTTTCCCGTGTTTCCAATACACAAAATTTCTTTTGTTTCTTCGTTCACTTTTATTTGCTCCAAATCTTCACTAAAAGACAAATACTGTTTATTAGCTACTATATGTGATCCAATTTCATTTGAAAAATTTACATTACTTCGGTTCATTTGAAATGTGCAAATGTCTTTCATCTTTTCCTCGCTCTCCTTTTTGTGGAGAACAACAAGCGTTATTATTACTACTATGACAATTATTATAATGAAGATAACTATCACAGATATTGTTGGGATTATGATGATCAATTTGCTCATATCCACACAAGAAAGACCATCATCACCAAGCCGATATTTTCCCTCACATTGTGAGCAAAGTGAGTTGGATGTAGATACACACTTGTCTATAGTTGTATAGTGTTTACACGTAAATTCACTTTGTAGTGTATTTTTGACATATCCATCAGCACATGAGGTACATGTATTCCCGTTGTTACACGTGGAACACAACTCAGAGCATTTAAGACAAAATGAGTTTTCAAGATAATATCCCCTTTCACATTCAGTACACCCTGTTATAGTTTTATTAACACAATTTAATAATTTGTTATCTGATTCACAAAGAGCCATTGCACTTGTTTTAAAAAATCCAATATCACACGAAAAACATAAACTTTTGTCGTTACACGTCGAACACCCAATTGGACATTCCTCACAAATCAATCCATTTCTATAGTACCCATCATTACATTTTGCGCATCCAATACTTTGTGGCATCAATGTAGTACAGTTGGTCATAACTTCGTTGATTGGAACACACTTTCCTTCTTTTAAAGCAGTTTGTGAACTACAAGTGATGCACTGATGTGGGTCACATATTTTACAATTTAAGTCACATGGAAAACATGCAAATCCAGAAATGTAAAACTCATTTTTACATCTGACACAGCCAGAAGGCGTCGTTATAAGACATGAATTGGCATAATTATTAACATCTCCTTCTGTTTTATATGTGACATTTGCGCTATTAAAAAGAGATTTTTGGTGCAACTTTTTGACGTCTTCAATGATATCGTTACAAACATTAGCTTCTTTCATGTTTGTTTTACATAACACACATTTGTTATCAATTCTGTATCTACACAAAGGGTCAATGTTATTGTATTGACAACTACCTTTATCATCAAACGAATACCCTTCTTCACATGAAATACAAAGTGAAGTTTCCACACTCGATTGATCACATTTTATTTCACTTTTTGCAATACATATTCCATCTAATAATATGTAATTTAATTCACACGAATAACACCTTTCAATATCACACTTTGTACAATGTGGTGTACATGATGAACAAGATCCTTCTTTAATGAAATATCCACCATTACAGAATATACACTCACGGGTTCCTTGATATCCGTTGCCACTTGAATTGCATTGTGAGTCCATTACATTACAAACAAAATTTCCTTCCACGTTTTTAACCATAGAAAATCCATCAGAACACTCATAATTTTCTATAATAGTAATAATTTCATTTGATTTTGTTGAACTAAATGTCAAATTGTATGTACTATTGTTCAACGACTCTTTTATTGTGTCACTTTCTTGTAAGATTATTGCTTTACACAAATGTCTGTTGTCACATTCATTTGTTTTGCCATCAAAAAGATAATATCCAAGTGACGGTAACACACACGTTTCTCCAATGAGATAATCACATCCATTCAGTTTATTTGGAACACATTGATTACCTTCACTCTTGTAATTGTCTTGACATTGGAGACATTTTGAAGTCTCGATATTTCCAGTAAACAACATCTTAAAACAATGTGAAATGGTGCCTCCACATTGATGTATTAGAGATATTCCATTGTCACAATTTGCACTACAAGATACATCCAATGAGATTTGAATTGTATCCTTATTTGTACATTCTAATTGATAACAACTCCCGTTCAATAATTTATATGGGGACTTACACTTTACACAAAAGGTGTCCGAAAGTGCCTGTTCACATCCTTCAATTAATTCCTCGGTATTCACACATTTCTTATTTTTTAGAACATATCCACTTTGACATAGAATGCACTGTCCTTCTGTTGTAGGATCACAGAAATTATCCAAACAATGATTGGGATTGTTTGTTCCACATGTCTTACACATGGAATTTTCCAAGTAAAATGTTTCTTTACAAATATAACACTTTTGTCCCGTTGTGTAGCATTTGTTAGGCTCACAATTAAGATCATTTGTAACATCACAAGATAAACAATTCCCCTCTTTTAAATACTTATTAAGTGGGCAATTTGTGCACTGTCCAGTTGTTTTATCACAAGAAGCGCAACCATTTGTATCACATGATATACAAGAAAAGTTGTTGATATAATATCCTATTTTGCATGTTTCACATTTGAGTGAAGAAGTTGTGCTGCATTTATTTTCCTCACAATTCATTGGGTTTGTTGATGAGCAGCTATTACAAAGAGTGCCATTCAAATAGTAATTCGGTAAACACGTCACACAATTACCATTAGATGAGTCACACGTGTTACAGTTATTCTGAGAACAAGAAACACACATTTTGTTTGTTAAGAAGTAACCGATTTGGCAAGATAAACAAGATGAGTCTGTACTTGAACATTGATTTGTATTACAATGCATTGGATTTGATATATCACAATTCAAACATTTGTTGTTCATCATGTAGTAATTGCTCGAACATTCCAAACAAGTATTTCCAGAACACCTCAAACAGTTGGAAACTTCACAACGAGAACATGAACCATCGGTAACACCCATTCCATCAACACATGATGAACACATTCCATTTGTAGAATCACATGATAAACAATTTTTGGAGATGCATGGCGAGCATCCAACACCGGAAGGGTAATATGAAGATTTACAAGTCAAGCAGAGATTCTGCTCGGTACTACACAAATCACAATTATCCTTTTGGCTACAAGCTTGACATTTTCCGTTGATCAAAAAATAACCATTTTCACATTTTGTGCATTGAATATTTGAAGTACATGTTTCACAATTTGTTAGTACCTCTGAACATAGTTTACAACTCGAACTATTCAAATAATATCTTTCAAGACACGAGGTACACAAACCATCACTTTGTCCACAAACCAAACAATTTTTTGAAGTACACGTTGAACAGTAATTTTCAAGTGGGTAATACTTTGGTTCACATCTTGAACACTTGTTATTTGTGGTACTACATTGTTCACAATTCAATTTTTGTGAGCATGAATTACACGCGCCATTTTGTAAATAATATCCAGAATAACACAGTGTGCATGTATTTAACGAACTACAGCTCGCACATTGATATGAACAGACATTACACTTATTACTGTTACTGTTAAGAAAATAACCAGTCAAACAAGATGTACAATTCCCATTTTTTGAGTCACATGTTTTACACATTTGTTGTGAACATAACAAGCAATTGGAACCACTTGGATAATTGTCGTTGTAACATTCAGTACATGCATTAGAACTTGGAGAACACTCCGAGCAGTTCGCCTTCATCTGGCAACTCAAACACTTTCCATTATCAAGGAAATACAAATTAGATAAACATAATAAACACAAATTTTTTGTACATTTGTAACAATTGGAGAATGTGGATGAACACATAATGCACTCGCCATTGTTTAGATAATTGTTCATATCACACGACAAACATTCTCCAGTTGATGGATCACAAGTTTTACAATTTCTTGCTGAACATGATACACACGTTTCTTTATATGGATAATTACCCATGTTACATGTGATGCATTTGTCTTCGCTTTGACTGCATACCGAACACCCATATTTGTTATTACAATGAATACATTTAGCTCCACTTAAATAATAATTTTCTTTGCATAAAGTACACGTTCCATTTGAAGACGAACATGTTTGACAATTTTGTGAAGCACAAGATGAACAACCGCTATTAACTGGATAATAACCATTTACACAAGTGGTACATCTATCGCTTGTTTGATCACAGACATTACAATTTGGCTTAGAACTACAAGAAACACAAGCTCCGTTTTGTGGAAAATAAGTAGAAATACACGAAGTGCAGTAACCAGATATTGAGTTGCAGTACCTTGAATCGGCCACACAGTTGTTGTTCAAACAAGAAAGACATTTACCATTTGATAAATAATACCCGTCTTTACAATCTGAACAGTCTTGAGTTGTTGTGGAACAGTTGGTAGTTTTGCAGTTCATTGTATTTGATGTGCATAAAGTGCATCCAGATCCATTTGGGTAATATCCACTTTTACAAACAGTACATTTGTCTTCTGTTTGACTACATTTAGAGCACCCTATTTTTGTACTACACAAAGAGCATTGAGATGATGAAGGATAAGAATCTGAAGTACATATTAAACACTTGTTTTCTGTGGTACTACATTTTTCGCAATTTGGTTTTGTTGTGCATGAATAACATTTACTATCCATTTTATAATAAGTGTCCAGACACTCTCCAATACACAAACCCGTCTTTTTATCACAATTAGTACAATTTTTGATTGTTGTGCAAAGAGCACAAATGTTATCAATTGTCAAGAAATATCCAGTTTTGCATAGTGTACATTTTGTACCATCACAACTTTCACAGCCATCTCGATTAGAACATGAGTAACAATATCCACCTTCAATATATGATCCACTAAAACAATAATCACATTTTAAAATTCCGTTCTCAAATTTTCCAGCTAACTGTTATTCCATAATATTAATAATACTATTTCTATTCAAATGGTAAACAATAATATAATTAGACTTGACAACAAACATTTACACGGATCCGACCCTTCTGGTTTGATCCCAAATTGAGACGAAAATTCAACAACAGATTGTGTCAAAGACTTAAACCGGAAATCACCAAAGTCGTGATATCCATTATAATAATAGAAATCCAAAGAAGACATGCTATTAATAGTCAAAATTGTTGATGAAGAGTATTGATTGTACTGCATATCAATTGTTGACACTCTTTCATCACAAACAGAATTTATAACGTAGTCGTTTGTTGACCCAACTTGTTTCATTAAAGACACATTAAACTCAAAACTTGCCCCACAGTTCGTCGCTGCTGAGAAATGGTTTGTTACGAATACTTCTCTCATTGTACCTCCAACAGTAAATACAAAAGAATTTAAAACTACTTTTCCTGTATCTCCAGAGAATCTGGCGTGTATCGGTCCATCAAATGTAAGACTTTTTGTTCCATCTAAAGTGTAAGTGATTGTGCACTGCTCAATATCAGTTTTTAAATTACAAGGACAGTACATTTCTGTGAATCCAAAAGGATTGTTTGATGGACTGTACCACGTTTGGTTCATTTGGCAAGTCACTTCTTTGTTTTCCAAACTAGATGGGCATATTCGAATAAGTCTATTGTTTGACATTTTTTTCAGTTCAAACAATGATGGATTAGTCACATCAATATTGTATTGGTTTCGAAAGGAAATAAGATTAACACAAGTGGCGCTAGTTGTGCTAACATTAAGCCTTTGACTCAATTGTCCATAATTGTAGATGTTGAAGGTTGATGAGATTGTATTTCCTTTGACTATTTTTAACAAGGAAGCACCATTTGTTTCTAATACAACACATCTGTCTTGAAATGTTGATGTTGTGCAAGTATAATGTATTTCTTTTGAATAAATAGTCACGGGCTTATCAGAGTTGTGAGTGTAGATCGATGAATTTCTTGTGCTAAATCTAGTGTTGATAACCAAAGAGTTGTAATTGTTGAATTTTGAAGTTCCGTTCATATCAAGTGTTGTGGCTTCAACACTCCCATAATTCTGGAATCCAGTACCATCCAGTAAAGTTAAATACTTTACTGAAAGTGTTGTGTCCATGTTTGTTGCACATTCTGTTTGCTTTATATTACAATAATCAAGTACTTCTACAATACCATCACCTTCAATGTATAATTCACCTCCACTCAAATTAAATTGATCCGCAATAATAGACCCTGTCACCATTAATCGAGCATTAATCATTTCAAAAGAATTCACATTAAGCCTTCCATTCACTGTTGTATTTTTATAAACGTTTAATCCTTTTGTTATTGTCATTTTTCTATTCATTATCAAATTGAAATACAATAAAAACATGGTTGTTGGAGTGTAATCTTCATCCAGTTGAATTGTCGCTGTTTGTGGTACAACCAACACTTTATATTTTTCAATGTTGACATACCCCTTGATTATCACTGCCAAATTATCTTCAATTTGAAGCCCCCCATCAACAATAAATGAGTTCTCACTCACTGTGATAAGAACCCCCGACTTTTTGATTACTAAAATTGGAGAGTCTACAAAGATCGTTCCACAATTTTCATCGAATAAAAAATTGGAAGTGATGTGAATGTGAGTGCATTGCCTTACTTCTATTTATCAGTCTGTTGTTAATTAAAATGTTAACAATGTAAATCAAACGATATGAATTCTCAGTAATATCAAAACCACTCAAACAGTCATTTCCAATTGGGATGCAAACCATATCTCCCTTTGTTGATGAGATGAGTAATTGGAATAACAAGAGAAGCAAGGACAAAACCATTGTTAAATCAATTTTGAGTTGAAAAACGAATTCTAGAAACCAAAGATAAACACTTCATTTTAAAAGTGAAGGGAAAATGTAATAATATTGATTATGATTCATCATGGTTTGTTAATTGTAAAAATAGTAGAGAGGGGGATTAATTATATTTTAAACCAAAAGTTGATAAAATATTAATATATTATTAAATTGATTTATCTAATTAAATCGGGACTATGAAGATAGTTGAACGATATTTAGATTGACTTGAATTTTGTGTTTGGAGAGTCGAAGCAAAATACAACTTTGTATGATAATTTATCAATTCTTGGTGTTTTTTAAACTCGTTTTTACACAAATTGGTAATAATTAATCTCAAATGCACCGATAATAAAATTAAAAAAAATAATAATATTCAATGAATTAATTTGACCATTATTTTCGAATTGTATGGATACATTGTTAAATCTTATTATTATATTATTAAAACTGAATGGAAGTTTTTAAGGAAAAACAAGAAAAATAATAAATAATAAATTGATGATGCATTGATCTTGCGAATGGAGTTTTGTTTAAGCCAATAATTGCGCCACAATTGGATTTTTTTCGTAAATAAAAATTCTCTACAGAAGCAATCTATTTTTTGAAAAAATTGAATATTATTGTGTACCAAATATTTTTGGATATTTTGTTTTTATTATATTTTTTAACTATAAAAACAAAATCTTGTTTACGAACCAAAAAAGAGTTTGTATTTAATATTTTTAACAAACTTGCAGTTATTTGCTCCGTTTTAACCAAATGAATGGGTATTACTATTTAAAAATATATTTCATCAAAACAAAATCAATTTTTGGGAGGCAATTATTGATGAAAAATAGTTACGAGAAGAGGCAAATCATACTTGTCATACTTGGATTATAAAATAGAATAACTATAGTTTGATTACTATATAATATTATACTTGATTTAACCGTTTATTATAAAAACAAATTAATTTGTTAAAATCTATATATTATGGTTTATATATTATTGAAACATAGCATTTTTCTATGATTTTTATTGTAAAAAATAAAAATTGTTTATTATTATTATTATAATTTAAAATATTAATGTAAAAAAACTTCCTTGATAATTCAAATTATTTTTCAAAATGACACAAATAATATCATACTATAATTATATTAACTATTTAATTAAAATTTAATAATATAATAAAAAATGTTATTGTTATATGTTATTACTTGTTATTGTTTATATTTATAATAAAAAAATACATTAATTGATTAATAATTAATTATTAATTAAATGTAATTATTTTACTTATTATTTACTTAACAAATTAATAACTATCAAAAATAATAAGTACAATAATTTAACATTTATTTCTATTGTTGAACGACGTTACCACCAAATCAACACCAACTATAACATAATCATTCTTTGGTGCTGTCTTATTTAGAATAGAAAGTATTTCATCATCGACATAGTCATCATCAAACCCCCCATTTTGGCCAAACGTGAATGTGGAATTTCGAGCTGGTGGTCTTTCCACTTCAGCAGTAACTCCATTTGGCCTCATTGAGGACGATCTCATTACTGTCCGTGAGTTCAAACTGAACGTCAACTTTGATATCAACTGCTCGCGTTTTGACATAATTACAATTTAAGAGTTATGGATTTATATTACATTTTTTAAGATAAAAATACACCACAAATCTTATT